CTTTTCTATTGACACTTGAATTCAATTGGCTACTGCTCAACCAATAGGATTTGGGGGTGAATACAGCTCACATTTGAACTATTTGGTCCCGGACACACAGACAAAAATAAAACGAATTAAGCAACGTGATTGGTCTATTTCGATTTAAATCGTCTTTTTGAGACGATTTATTCGTTAATTCAGTTTTAATTCACTTTGAATTAGTCGGTGTTCGGGGCCTTCGCCTTGATTTACTCTAAGAAAGTCGTTTTCCCTATCACTTGATTTCTATTGGTCAGTGCTCAATCAATGGAGCTTCGAGGCAAGTGGAGTACAAATTCGAGTTCTCCATCCCGAAAAACTCTGGAGTATCGCCTTTGCGATCAGAGGATAGAGCTCTAATTGTGGATCACATAGAGCGTGGACAAGAACAGAACCGATTTCCGTTTATTTATCTTTGCAATAGGTGAGTTAGCTTCCTTGTTTCTTGATGTTTTATATACCATTTTGTAGCTCGTGAAATTCTCTGTTGAATGATATATAATAATTGGGGTTTTATGTGACCATGATCGGGAAAACCTTTTACGAAAGCAAGGACTGGTTGATTCTCACATAGGAAAGCATAGGGGAAAATAATTATTTTTACAATAACTCACCAATGGCTCGGACACTCATTCTCATCTTCGAACTCAACCGAGATATTGTTGGGACAAAACTGTGTAGAAAATTTCATCACGATTGAACTCTGCTTTCAAAAGTTATCGCGTAAACGGCCGGTCGCTCGGCCGGACACACTGACCGATTCTAGAGTGTACTTACTTTTTGAGTACACAAAAATTTTGCTCTTGAATGGGAATAAATATGCGGTTGAACCTTCTTCTTTTTATTCTTCTTTTTTGCTTTTTTCTTGCTTATTTAAACGTATATACTGGAATGGACGAAGAGAACTAACTTGTAAAAATTAAATTTCTTCGTCCATTCCAGTATAAAAATTCAAATAGGCAAGAAAAGAGCAAAGAAGAAGAATAAAAAGAAGAAGGTTCAACCACATATTTATTCTCATTCAAGAACAAAATTTTTTAACTCTAAAAAAAAACATATTACGTTCGAAACGTCGGTTATAATATATATTGTTATATATTTATATTTACATTTATATATTTTACTCTCCATTACTATGTTAAATTTTTATTTAATTGTAAATAATAATTTATATAAAATATTTAATAAATTAAAAAAAAGCTAAATTTTTTTAAAAATGATCAGTACAACCTACCTAAGACGTATGAACTTTCATTCTGATTTCACAACAACAGACATCGCTTTACTCTGATACAAACCAATCACTGCAGCCTCCTGCAAAGCTGAAATAAACTACTCATAACCTAATAAACCTCATTAAAACTTGTATTTGCATTTACTGTATTTTCTTTTATTCAAAGACATATGAGTTGCACAAAATTAAATATATTTATTAAAAAGTAAAATTGCAAAAACTAATGTATTTTGGTATAAAAAGAATATGTCTTTCTAAAATTTCTCCAGAAGGGGCTCAAAGGTCCGTAGGGGGGGGGCTCAGCCCCCCCTGGCCCCCTGCTGGCTACGCCACTGACTTATACAATCAAATTCACCTATTGGTGAGGTTCTCACAGCTAAAATTGTTCCATGTTTTGTTGAATTATTAAAATTTCAGCAATTTCAAATTTAAGTAAGATTTAAAAAGAAATAATAATAATCAAAAGAATTCTTCTTTTTTAGGATTTAGTTTGGAGTTGTATTGGTTACAAATATTATATCAGCATCAGGCAATTCAAGTCAAACAACACATGTTATTGATGATGTTAGTAATGCACTAGTTTTTGTCAAATTATTAAGTAATGTGAATGAAGATTTTCAGAAACAAGTAAATAAATTAAAAATGTCATTGATTTATAATTAATTAAAACTCATTTTAGGCTATGTGAGCATTTGAAAATATTCTTAGCGATAGTCCGGTATGTTCTGATTATGTTTTTGATATAAGTATACTTAGAATATTATTACAGTAAACTATCTTTTTTTGTTAAAATAAATAATAAAAGGTTAATCTTTGTTATTTATTTGGTATCTTTTCATGTAATGCACATTTAACAACAATACGAAATGCTGGATGGCGCTTAACAAGTTTATGTTGTGACAAAAATCCAGCTGTTAATTTTAATAAAGTGAAAAAAAAAGAAATATTTGTAAATAGATAAACAAATTTTTATTTAGGTTACTCTAACATTATCCGTACTTAGTCGTTTACTTTATAATCTTGACTTGGATGTATTAGCTGATACATATTGGTCTATTTCATATTGATCTGATGGATCGAATGAACAACTTCAAGCTGTTATCCAAGCTCGTGTAACAACAAGATTTGTTGAATTATTAGAGTAAATCAATAAAATAAAATTTAAAATAAAATATTTCTTTGTTTTTGTAGTTATTAAACATTCAGTTTTAAATTTTCAATCATCAGCATTATATGCTGTGAAAAATATTGTCACAGATGGTAATCGATAAATAGTGGTAATCAATTTATTTAAAAAGGAATGAAGGATTTTTATAATAATAATATCGCTTGTTCTTGATAGTAGTATACTTCCGCATTTATTAACTGTACTTTAAAATTCAAAAGAATCAATTAAAAACGAGGCTTATTGGACTTTATCAAATATAACAGCTGATATTCAAAGTCAAATTCGAGTAAAAAAAAATTTTTTTATTTTTTATTAATAAATAGAAATTTTGTAAATTTTAGGCTGTTATTGATGCAAATATATTTCCATCATTAATTAATATCGTTAAACATGGTGATTATAAAACACGAAAAGATACTGCTTGGGTTGTAACAAATGTAACATCAGGTAGTACATCACAACAAATAAAGTAAAAGAATCTTTTATTTGAGTATTTATATACATATATATATATATATATATATATATATTATTGATCAAGGACCAATTTCACCATTATACGGATTATTAAGTATTGTAGATAGAAAAATGATTCAAGTAGCTTTTAATGGTTTAGAAAATATTTTTAAATTATGTATAGCAGAGAAGTTAAACGAACGAATAGTTACAATTCATATGCAATTATGATTGAAGAATGTTTTGATTTAGATAAAATTGAATGTTTAGTAAGTCATGAAAATATTGAAATTTATTAAAAAACTTTTCATATTATGGAAGTATATTTTGGTGTTGATGAAGATGAATATCTTTCACATCAAAGAGAATTTGCACTATTTGAATTTGATACAACAAATAGTCAAGTAATATCAACAATAAATGAACAAATAAATCCAATTAATGTGGATATCAATCAACAATTTAAACAAGGTCAATTTCAATTTTGAACGTTTTACTTCGAAAGTTAATTGATATAAGTAGGAAAACTTTTTTTTGAAAAATATATTTTTCGTAGAATCGACATCAGTTTGTTTCTTTTTATATAGTCTGTGAAATATGATATTTAGCATTGAAATCTTAAAAATATCTATTTGGATTTTACACCATCATCGATATGCATCAGATTCCATTATACTTGATAAAATTGAAAACGTAATACATTATTAATATCATCCAATTTCAGAGAAGATTTTCTTCTTATCTTTACATTAGATTCTTGGTTAATTACTCTTTGTGTTCTTGAAACTCCGTCGATGTTAGAAATTTCTCAAAAACAATAGACATTGTGCATTTGGCCGATGAATTAGACTTCTTTTTTGATGTACTTGAATGAAACAAAAATCAAACTGATTTAATTAAATAAAATCTCTTATTAAATAATTCACCTAATGAAATAAAAATAAGAATCTGTTTAACTGATCTAATAACATTTACACTTGTTGTCTTGGATAGTCTTGAGGATGCTATTATTAATCTTCCTACACCTATTCTATCAAGTTTATCTGAAGTTGATATTGAATCTAGTGCACATAATACATCCGATACAAATGTCGTTATTGATATATTACCAACACTAGTATCTATTCTTGTTAGTAAAACTAAAATAGAAAAATCAATTACAAACAAAAATCTTGATTTATCAGTAGAAAAACGATCGAGATTTGAAGGAAATATTCAACATAGATTAAAAATAATTGCAAGACGTTCAGGAGATTCATTCATATCATCATTAATGAATATAAATGATAATAGTCATGAAACTTCATCATAATGAGATCTCACTGATGAATTAGATGCTAATCTTGATGCAACTGTATTTAATAATGATTTCTAAAGAACGATAGTATTAGTTTAACAGAAAAAAATTATAATGGAACGAGAACATTAGAATGGCTATGCTTTTCGATGAAAATGAAAAGAAAAATTTTTTATTTCTCATATAGGTTAATAATGTATTTATTAAATTAAATCAAATAAATGTTTGTATAAGAGAAGATAATAATAAACAAATGTTTATGGCATATAATGTAAAATATTTACGCATTGGTGGATTTTCTTTATTAAAATTTAATACAATTAAACCAAAATTATTTGAAAATGAAAAGGTGGGTGTGGGTGGGTGGATGGGTGTAGGTGTCGGTGGATGTGTGTCCATGTATAACACTTCAGTTCGCTTACACCCCACACCTACACCCACATTGATACTAAGAACAAATACCACAATTCAACTCAGCATAGTTGACTACTCAAGAACCAATACCGTTCAGAGTGGCCCGTGATCAATTAGCCAATTTTAAGGCTTCCAGTAAAACTCTTATTACTCCTGAATGAAATGAGCTACGAGGATCGGTCTTGTGTAGATCGACAAAGAAATATCTTTGCTATAAAGTAAGTAAATTGAAAATTATAGTTAGTTCAGGAATTTTTTTCAAAAACTCCTGGTCCAAACCTACAGCAAAAGCTAATCAGCTAGATCAATGCATAGTGAATGTGGTTTAGCAGAATTTTACTTCCCCCACATTTCTTTTTCAAATGGGAAAAACTGCAGATTTCTAGCTGCTTTCATTCTCAAGACAATTAAAAAATATCGAGGTTCATTATATTTTGGCACCGATAGTTGCTCTGAAAGTTTGCTCTGTATGCATTAATATAGTATTATTCATAAAGTTTGTTTTAATTTCTTCTTTTCATTCTCTCAGACGATAACTGAAAATTATCTATGAAATGCTATCAAATTATTTTTTTTTACTTGATAACAGGTGAAATTGCTTTCGTGATATCAACAATACTTAATAGTAGTATTTGCTTACCTTATTCGTATGAAAAAAGACTGAATAAACTTCTACCACAAACCAAAACATCAGTCCATTTGGTTGAATCAATGCGATGATATTTCATTCTTTTTTTTATCGTAGTATTATTTATGGTCTACCCTGTAGTGTCCTACGTGAACGACATTAGCTATAAGCATTCTCAAAAATCGTTTTGTTTGGTTTTTATATATATAATAAGTATTGCAAAAGTCTTTGAAAAAATGTCGAATATCGGATTGATCTGAAGTTTTTTCTCTTGGAAAGAGCCAAGTCTAAAGAATGAAACAGATCAACATAGTTAGAATTTTTTCTTTCGTTTTATTATGACGAAAGTCAAATACGAAGAGCAATACTCAAAATGTTTTTTCAAACTGGTTTTTCGATATTATCAGTCATTAATTTCACGACTTTACTTGTCTCAAACTTTGAGTTAAACTTATTCATGAATTAAGCTTTTCAATCCCTATCGTTCTATCTATTATATTTTCTCCATTGGCATATTAGTTTGATAAAAAGTGTGAAAGAGAAAAAAAAAATGATTGAAATCAGTCTGATGTTATATTGTTGAGAAATAAATTTAGACATTCTTCCAACAATTTTTGCATCGCCGATTAGCCAACAGAAAACTACCAAATATCTAATATCAAAAATTAGACAAGTTCATCCATTATTCATTAAATTATCGTTCGATTATTACAATTAATTATTCACATTTCTGTCATCTTAGAAAAACATATCTTTTTTCAAAGAAAGTAAAAAAAGTTCAGAAATGAATCATATAGATTCTGAAATTAAAGCTCTAGACTGAGATATAAGTTTTCTTCAAAAACTTGGATCTTAAAGATTTTCCACATTCATTTTTTACAGAAATGCTTTAGAAAAAACAATAATGACATATTCGAAATCACCATGTAAAACTATATCTAATGATGTGTCGTTTGTTAATTTTTAAAATAAAAATTTTTCGGGCAAAAGTTTAGCGTGAGGAGTTTGCATCCAGCATTGTCCATCGAACATATGTTTTTTAACGAATTTCGTTTTTTTTTTCATTCTATGAAAAAAGACGACGTTTTTGACAAATAATGCATGATGTACACGTGCTCTATAAAAATTACTCACAGTGCATTATCACCTTCGAAAGGAATATCATTTAAATTATCTCGCGATATAATATTATTATTATTATTATCTTTTTGTCTTGAATGTTTTCGTTTTTTTTATCAATGTTGTTGATATGCTATATAATTAGAATCGTCATAGGAATTTTGAAAGCATTATGAGAGCGGAAATCGAAAAAAAGTCGTTCCCATACGACACTATTAATAATTCTCAAAATGATCAGTTGTAAGCATATTATGCATAAATTTAGTTGCTGTTGTTTTCATTTTTTTTTATCTAGTTTTAATTATAGTCTATGTAACATTTTCTTTTAGTCATAAAATAAAAGATTTAAGAATTTTTCTTTTTTTATTCAAAATATTACGGATTATAAATATGAGTAACACCATCATTCTCATTGGTCTATTTTCAACAAACAAAAGCAAACTAGGTCAATGTGAAATTGTTCGTTAAGGGACAAATACTAGAAAAAGAACTTGATCTGATATATTTTTGAAAACTAATAATAAATGTAAGAAAAGGTGTATTCATAATAATAAAGAATAGAGAAAATATATATTTATTGCGTATATTTCATATTAAGACAACAAATAATATGCAATTGAAATGTTTGACTCGTTGACAGAAAAAAAAGTAATGATATATATATATATGGTTATGTTTTTTCTTATTTCCAGGTAAACTAATAGACGTAAAAAACATGTGATAAATATTCATAAATGTTTAGTACATTTTCAACTTTTATAATAAAAAGAAGAAAGACATAAATGAACCAAGAAGAAAGTGAAGACGAATCTCTTTATATTGATACAAATAGAAATATTTTACATGTAAATAAAAAATCAAAACCTGTTGTTTGTTTGTTTTTTTTTTCTAAAATCTATTTTAATATATATTCGTAGGTCGAACCAATCGATATTAATACAAGTTTATCATCTTTAACAACAAAAGGTATTTCTCTTGATAATGTATTACGAAAATGTGGCGATTTTGGTCGATTTCAAATAATACATTATTTTTTCTTGAGTATCATGGCAGTGAGTGCTTCAATTATTTCTTTTTACTATGTTTTTGGTGCTGCTGAACCTGATCATCGATGTCGATTACCAGTAAATGTATGGCCAGATGATACACAATATAGTCCAATAAATCAAACACATGAATTATATATTAATAATTATATTCCAAAAACTAATGATGGAAAACAATGGAAAAAATGTGTACGTTATATGATAAGTAATATGAATGATACACTTGTGAATTGTCCAAATGGTTGGGTATATGATCGATCAGTTTTTGGATATACATTTACAGAAGAAGCTGATTTTGTTTGTCAAAATGAATCAAAACGAAGTTGGATAGCAACTGCTATACAATGTGGTGGTTTTTCATTACTTATTATTGGATCATTAGCTGATAGACATGGTCGAAAGAAAATGATTGTTATTGTCACTATGGTATTATTTTTTACTTGTCTCATAACTCAAATTATAATGCAATGGATACCAATGACAATAAAAACTAAGTAATTTAATTTAAAATTATTTCAATAAAAAAAAAAAAAAAAATATTGAATTTTTTTTTTCGGTTAGATTTATTGTTTTATTACTCAATCAATTTGCATCTGGTCTTGTGTTTTCTACTTATAGTTTGATAATTATTTTAGCACTTGAATTAACATCAGCTACATATACAGGTTTAGCTGGAAATTTAATATTTGTTTCATGGACAATTGGTCAAATCATTGTTACTCTATTTGCGTTTATCACATTTGATTGGCAAAAATTAAAATGGGCTAATACAGCTTTTATTGGTTTAGGAATACCTTATCTTTATTTTATGCCAGAATCACCATTATATATTTATGCCAAAGGACAATATGTTTCACTTGAAAATATTCTAAGACGAATAGCAACTCAAAATGGACGAAAAGAAACTGATTGGTATTCATATTATCAAGAATTCTTACGTAATCAACCGATAAGATCATCACAGACAAGTGAATCAGCATTTTCTCAAAATTCTTATCAATTACTTATTCATCGAACAACTATAGTTAAATTAATATTAACAGCTACTATAGGTTTTACAACACTTATGATTTATTTTAAGATAAGTTATGGTTTAGCTATGATGGATACTTCACCATATTTAGGAATATTATTGGGTGCTATTGTTGAAACAATTAGTTATATAACAAGTTCTTTACTTATTTCTAGTAGACTTGGTCGCAAAGGTTCATTTATTCTAATGATGAGTCTTACAATTATTTGTATGATTCTTATTCCATTTTTTGTAAAGTATAATTCAATTGCAAGTCTTGGCTTAGCTCAACTTGGAAAATATACAATATCTAGTACAACTGCAATAGCATGGATATTTGTACCAGAACTTTTTCCAACTTCAATTCGAAGTACTGCTAATGCAGTTTTTATTGTATTTAGTCGTCTTGGTGCTATAACAGCACCAATAATTTATACAACAATAAGTAAAAATTATATATCATATACATTTTATGCTTCAGCAGTTTTAGCATTTGTTGTTCTTTTATTTTCATTAATGTTACCTGAAACAAAAGATAAACCAATGGATGATATAATAGATTATACTACAAGTATAACTGATATTTAATAATAATCTCTTGTATCTAGGTTTTTGTTTTTCTTTTCTTTATACATAAAAGTTTGCACTCATACAGAATAAAAGGAAAAGGAAAAAAAGCACACCTGTACGCTGTTCTTGTTTCACATATGGCCAAAAAACAAAAAAACAAAAAGAAAAACATAAACAAATGTTATGCTACATCCATCAGTATAGATGTAGTCGAGAGAGCGCAAAG